ACTCGTATTATAAGAACTGCTTGAGTAGAGAAAATCCTGTGTGTTGCCAAAATGTTAGGCAAAATAAAGGATATTCACGCATGATTTTTCTCAATCTTTGCTTTTCCATAATAATACTGTAACCGATAAAAGAAAGGCTGGTTGTTTCACTACGGGCGATGATTAGTTAATTATTATAAGATGGCTGGAAGCCCGTTAAGAATAGCTAATGTGCAGTTTTTGTTTAAAATAATCCACCTAAAAACAAAAACTATTACCTGCTTTTAATTTCGCTTGTCAAGTGCCGCTTTGGGTGGCTCACTATGATTTTGTGTAACGTGTCAACAAAAATATTAAGCGCAATGGTATTCTTGAATTTAAAACAATCATCATTGTATATTCTAAAAGCTTACACACTAAGGTGTGAAGGCCTTTTAGGATATTTGGTGTAATCACCAAATACCCTAAAAGGTAACCACAACGCTTAGTTCGTAATGAATTTAATCTTATTTACATCAAGAGGCTTCTTAGGGGTCAATGTTCTTTTTGAAATTAGAATAAATCAGAAGTGGATTAGTGTCTGAGGACATGGCGTTCAGGGTTCGAATTTTACTGATATGCACGCATATTCGCTAATTTCGTCTACCGCGTAACGTGCAAAAACTAATATGACGTCATTCTTAGGAACTGTCGCCCTTAGAGATCATAGATCAGAGAGATCAGATCGGGACCTTATCGGATCGGGAGCCTCAGCTTTAATACTTGTTATCAAAATAAAATTCTATTTAAAAATGGTAATAATATAACATAAAATAATTAAACCAAGAATTTTTGTGAAGGGCGATCAAGTGTCTAACATTTGAACGGGACTGCGCAACAAAATGGCGGCCTGTGGAGGTCGAATTCTGCTTTTGCCCGCTGTTTTGTGTAAAGATCAAGGTGACTGATACGATAGCATATTGTCTTTTCAAATATTTAGTGTTCATCGCAAACAAAATTTTGTTAAGGCACCTTCACAAGTACAGTTATAAATAAAAAAATATGTACAGTAGGTATTTTAATAAATAAAAAATATGTAATAAAAACTGTACACATTACATTACATATATAAATATCTAATTGCGTCATTATAAAAAGCCACCATCAAAGTTGCTATAGAGGTAATTAGTAATATAATTTGTAAAAATAATCATTTTGTTTTCTGTATATTTTGCGGTTAAAATCTATGATTACAATTTTAAGCTGTTTTTGATATGCTTTATCATAAATATTTTAGATGTATGCAGAAGAGAGATATAACAGTTTCCCTTTAATATAAATTTCATTATCAGTTAAACAATGTCGACACCAATATGTTCTAGATCTTGATTGATAATATCTAACGTTGATTATGATACTACAGTATCATTATATAAATACACTAAAAAAAAAATCGTACATAGAGCGAGCAATAGACTTCAATTGACTTCTAAAAAGTAAAGTAACAGCCTATACATGTCCCACTGCTGGGCAAAGGACTCCTCTATACAGAGGGTATCAGGGCATAGTCTACCACGCGGCCCCACTGCGGATTGGCGGACTTCACATATCTCCGAAAAATATATATTTTTTTTGTTATCATTTCGAAAATATGCAGGTTTCCTCACGATGTTTTCCTTTAAATATAAGTCAGCACTTAGAAGTTAAAAACTTCATTGGTGCCGGCACCGGGGATCGAACTCAGGTTGCTCGAGTATATTGAATTAAAGGCGAGCGCCCGGACACTGAGCTATCACGGCGTATTTAGGTAGTAAGGAATTAATTTTCTGTCAATGCATTGAGACAAAAATAAATTAAATAAAAGTTCAGCCATGTCATTGGAGGAGATGGAGTCAGGGCTGTCGAAATCAGTCTCTATTTATAGTAATTTTTTTAGTTGTCCTCGAATTCCTTGTGAAGGAATAAAAAATAATGTTGTTATTATTTAACAAGCATTTTAATAACTTAAAACAGAATTTTTGTATGATATTTTGTAATTTAGCATCATTCGTATTTATCGTAATAAGTTATCCAAATTTCAGTGGATAGATACTGTAAATTTATCTAGAGACCTGTTCCAGTATGTTCGAAGATAAGATTCGATCTTCAAAACCTCACACTTAAAATGTTAATTGATTAACCAATAATACAGTCAATTTGAATCATCTAAATCGTTCTTAATTGTTTAATTGCCAAAAGAAACGCTAATGTAAAACAAGTTTGAATTAACGATTGCTTGGACATACTTACATTATAAGTTAGTTTGAGTTTACAACACCGATTAAAAAAAAATACAGGTTTTTTTATCTGCCCGTTTCAATATATTTGTCTGACCTATAAGTAACGTGTATGTAGTTACCTCAGGCGCCTTCTGCATGACGTAATTCTATGCAAAATTTAACCTGCATCACTGTTTTAGATTTACTTTTTTTATTTCAAAATAAGGCTTACAATAAGAGTTTTGTCAAAGTTGAAAGCGGAGGTAAACCGGGTTAAAGACAAGATTGTTAACAGCTGTTTTGACGAGCTCGGTCTATTAATGAGATGTCATCAACTTTTGAATATTCATACATAAAACATAATATACGTAATATATGTATAATATATCTTATCGTCATCAATTCACACTATAATAAAGCAATTTGTTCAAGTTATGATTTCGTAACAAAATCACGCGTCTAACTACCTTCGCACCGTACACCGAACAGTCGGGAAACTGTCGAGAAAAATGCTTTAATCCCAGTCCCATTTACTCGCACATCCGTCAACAAACAAGGCGAGTGATTATCTGTTTATCGCCAAAACGCTGGTCTGCGGTAGGTGCCGGAGGGGGGAGGTTCCGTTAGCCGCCGGCAGTCGAAGCCACACTCCACAGTCCACAGCTGATTTCACATCGCTTGCATCTAACCGAGGTATCGCGCGCATGCTAGTCGCTCCGCGGTCGACAAAAGCCGGCAATGTCTCGATTGCGAGCGGCGAAAATATTGTTTCAATGAAAAGTGAATGGTGATATATCGAATAATCAAAAAGCTTACGGGACAAAGGATCACTACTTGTTCGCTAGGAGAGCGGACAATCGTCGATATCAAATTTATGCGGGTAAGTTATGGGTCGATATATAGCGATCGTGTTATCAGTGGGTTTTTTTTTAAACATCGTGTCTTGTAAGGCAGCCCCAGACTTCCAGATTTTGGCGGTACCCTCCGAAATTGCCCGTAATTAAATATCACTCGGTCTCACTTTTCGGAGATACCTCGAGAATGCGGCTGAGTAATACAGATTTTTGTAATAAGCCTTAACATATTTTTATTAAATAAAATTATTTACACTAGTAACAGAAAAGTGATTATTTCCGTTTATATATTATTGTATTCCACTTTCAACGAAAGAATCTCGTTTGTTTTACTCAAGCGGTTTCAAATTTCCGCTTTGCTCGAAAAAGAATCTGGTAACGCTGTTGTAATTGCTGCTTGATTTTTTTTGGTGAGTGTAACTGAAATATTCAGTGAGGAAAAATAAAGAAATACGCTAATTAATGAATAGGAACTTTACCATAACTGGTAACGTGGTAACTTACGAACATATTAATTTCCTTGTAAAATTTCGACGTTTCATAAGAACGCGCAAGCGTCTATGTGAATAAAGATATTTTATTATTATTATTATTATTACAGTTTTAAGGAAATTTTTGCACATCATTTTTGATTTTCAGTGTTCCAAAACTTTGAGTGTGAAAAATAAGCATTTACAGACCACTGGTTATCGTTGTTGTTGATAGACAGTCAAACTATCAAACCTAGCTGAAACATTTATTCAATTTCCAAATAATTACCAAACTGACTGTAATATGCGTGCAATTTCTCTGTTTGTGCAACTGTTACAAATTATGGACTGCATTAAATGCTATAATAGCATATCGCGGTTTCAATTTTTTTAAATCAAACAGCTATTGTGCTTAAAACTAGCCTTGCTGATTATTCACCGTACCGACCTTGGTTTCGGTAATTGCGACGATAAATCTCGTAGAGTACTTGCATGGTGGATTTAGGTGGATAGTTGTTGCGTAAAGGAGTAATAGAGCGTTGAAGACCGAGCAGTGGGGTGTATCAAACTTTGAATATGTATGTATAACGTGCATTGGTTCGCGTTTACTAGACCATTAATCTCGAACAAACCGGCGTGATGGATACGCGTACTATATTTTTTATAACGGCGTACGTTACGATAGATAAGGGAGCGCCTATTCAATGTATTGTTCAGCCGGTTCGCATGATTTCCGATAGGGAATAAACTCCCAGTATTGTCTAATATAATGGCACATAATTAGCACCGTAAAGAACTCGTACGCGGCCCAATTACACGGACAGGTAAGGAAATCGTGTCGCGATTTTCTTTCCGCGTGTATATTCCTTTCGATATAACCTTTAATCGAAGTCGTATGGAATTTCATGAAGCGTAAAATATATGTGCATGTGTTCGCAGTCACTGTTTTTCATCCTCATATAAAGTTTGTCGAGTGCAACAAAAACATAAGGAGACAATCCGAATGGCGTAGTGGGTAGTGTACCTGCCTTCTGCGCCAGAGGGTGTGGGTTCGATCTCCACTACTGGAAAAATATTGTGCGATGAACATAGAGTTTTTCTAGTGTCTGTGTGTTTATATATGTATAGTATGTATTTATTTACAAAAGAAAAGTACGTTTAAGTATGTTTATCAGTTTTCTAGTACCCATAGTACAAGTGTTGCTTAGTTTGGAACTAGCAAATGTTGTGTAAAAAATGTGTCCTAAGGAGCGCGCACAACGATAACGTTTTAGTCTTAGGAAAGTCCGCAATTACATTGTGATCTTTTACATTGTTTCGTGATGGATACAAAAAAAATCTGAACCCGTAATGCTTTCTGCACTCGAAGCACCATTGTGAGGGGGTGATAAACGCGCGTTTACCGAAATTTTCTGGTCATCGGCCCCGAGCCGTCGCGTCGTCAAAGTCGCGAAGCATTAGAGATATGCCGCGCGCAACGCGTCTTCCGGATCTAATTGCCCGAGCGCGACAACCCTAGCGACTTTGTACGCGCCCGTGGCACCGTCGATAATGGAGAGCACTTCGATTTGTTTCATGTTACCATCGCTTTTGATGTTTCCAATTCGGACATTGGTCTCGCTCGCAAAAGTGGCCCACCATCGATGCGTCACGGCGGCGGTTGTCGATCGGACGGACTGAAGCCCCTGCACGGAGCACGATTTCGACCTCGATTATCGCCGCCGATTTCGCTTCCACAAGGGAAAGGTCTCGCTTCGACAGTTCTAACTCTAGGAAGTAAATTAGTTTACTTGCACTGACATATTTTATATCGATGAAAGACAATTTTTATAATTACTAGCTTTTGCCTGCGGTTTCGCTCGCGTTGAAGCACTTGAATAAATATATTTTTTGAAAATAGATTTTTTTATAATAAAAAGAATATATCCTATATATTAAAATCTATCACTCCAACCAATCACCTAATTATATGTGTAAATATGTTTTAAAAACTTTACCATCCTTAGCCCCGTCATATAAATGTAATGAAACTTCAAAACGAGTTCCTTAGTCACGTTTTGTTATCAAAATGGTTTATTTTTTATCACATTTAGTTTATGCAAACACAAACCTTGAACAGCTATACATTATGTTGTGTTAAAGCGTGCCTCTTTGCATTTGTTTTTGTCAAGCAAAAATAAGGAAAGAGTATTTAGGTCGAAGGCAACGTTCAACCAATTCGTGACGATAAATTCGCAAACAAAGTAATAATTATTAAGACTGCGTCGGTCATTACGGCTGTAAGTTTCTAATCTAAATCCTTAGTAATATTATAAACGCGAAAGTTTGTGTGTATGGATGAATGTTTGTTAATCTTTCATGCAAATACTACTGAATGGATTTTAATGAAACTTTACAATAATACAGCTTATACATCAGAATAAGACATAGGCTATAATTTATATACATATTTTATGTATATCTGTCTTTCTGTTTACGACTTATTCATCATCTACAGCCTATTCTACGCTGACGGTTGCGGGCAGCAGCTAGAACAATATAAATAAATATAGAAAGAAGGTCACGATATGATTATGTGTGTAGAGTTTGTGACACGCGAGTTGAGTTTTTTTATTTAAGAAGATCGCAAACGAGCTGGCCGTTCACCTGATGTTAAGTGTTAACCGCTGCCCATTGACATTTGCAACAAGCATAGGACTGCAGATGTGTTGTCACCTTTTAATAAAGTCGCAATCGATGCAGTCGATTTCGACTTTATTGTCGACTCACAGTCGAAATTCCGAAGTATAACATTTCTATTTCACACCAGGCTTCTATGAGGTCGTGATACCTACCCTGACGGACCTGCCAATTCTTGCAACAGTGAACACTTTGAAGAAGAGAAGAAGCTTTAGGGTGGAGGCGCTGTATGCAGTAAAAATAGGTTTCAAACGTCTGTTACACAATCTGTACATTTTATAGCAACAAAAAAATATATGTTAATCTTGATCTTACATTCTAATGTCACATTGTTTTCAAAATATATTCTCGATATATTTTCTTGATAGAAAAAAGTTATGAAACTACCTCCAAAAGAGAAATTCAAATCCCAAAATGAACGTAATACATCAACAAATCTTAATGAATTTAATATCAGTGTTGTAGAATATTTTAATAACCAGGACTGTTGTCTTAATTTGTTGATGAAAGTAAGACATTTGTAAATATTAATTTAATTCATTAAAATTAATTCGAACGCGACGACCAAAGTGCCCCCGCGGCGTTGTTTCCGTCCTCTTTCGTTTCCACACGTTGAATAGAGAGCGCGGAGGCGCGTTACTAGGTGGATCAATGCCGCTCGTCTTCCACTCACCATTACGAAATATGTTCCGTATTTATTTTTTATTGAGAATAACTTTATTAGATCTTTCGAAAACACGAAACTGAAAAATATGTATTCACATATTTCGTATTTATAAATTATTTGTATATAATAACAGTTGTTAATTAATTTATATAAAGCGTAGTATCTGGAGGACCGAGCCTTGCTCGATTTTTTTTATTGCATGGTAAACCATGTACTTTGGAAAAAAAAAATAAAGAAAATGATCTGGTATAGAAAAAAAAGGAAAAAAATAAGTGTTTAAATGATCGTGATACGAACCGCGGCCGTCTGTTTTGAGGCCGCCCGATTACCGACCGAGCTATTATAAAAATTTTTTTTGTGAAATTTACCGTCTTATTCGAATAATATTTTTCATTCCCTGAAAAGTTGGATAAAACGACATTTTTAAATGAAACCTAGTCAGATCGATTTTTCGCCCCTGAATCTACGCACATACCAAATTTCATGAAAATCGCTGGAGCCGTTTCCGAGATTCCAATTATATATATAAAAGAATTGCTCATTTAAAGGATAAGAATTTCATCTTGAGATCGATTGCTCTATCATTCTGTATGCATTGGGTTCAAATCCCTAAATTTTTTTGTTGTACTTATTGATGATTTTCTTATTTGGAATTATTTCTTAATTACCATTTAATTTATGTTAATTTTTTTATCTTCATAAATAATTACAACGAAGTATTAGATATTGTATTTGTTCAAAGTTGAAACATTTGGAGAACAATCTATCAGTAAATAAACCAACTTTTAGTATTTAAATTTTTTTACTAAAATACATATTTAATTTTTCACTCTAAAACGAAAATTATCTTTTACACGAAACATGATTGTTTTATATTTTTTTCATTAATTTGCTTATTTCCCAAATTGAGCCATTTTAGGAAATAAAAACAAAATAATAAGTTGGCTAACAAATTAAAATTGAAAATCATATTATTAAAAATACAACTCCACTCGATTAGGGTTTGAACTTGGGACGACAGCAATAGTTTACTGTTCATGACGTTCGGACCAACAGGCTACGCGAAGTCTGTGGAGCGTGACAAAACTTCGATTCTAGTTATAATATTGCTGTCGTTTATTAAACTACATTTTCTGAGAAAGTAATATAACGTAGTAAGTATTGAACATTTAAAGGATTTTACGGTGGTATACTTTCGCGTTTCGTCTGGTGAGTAAGGTGGCCGGAGCCCAATTTTCAAAAGGTTGTCAACGCATCTGCAACCCTCAGGTGTAGCAGATGTCTATGGGCAGCGGTATATATTCACTTAACATCAGGTGAACCCTCTGCTCACTTGGCAACTTTTCACATCAAAAAGGATAAATTAAAATTCCTAATATATAAAAAAATATGTAATAAAAAGTTGTATTTGAAATTTCTGCAAAAATTTTATGAGCCATTTCTTTAAAATCACAATGTAAAAAATATATCACTATGCGATTATTATTGTTTTGTTGTAAAATGTAATTTCCCTTTATTAATTTGTTTGACTTTAAGATGTATTTTTAATCAATTCCTTTTCCAGTTAATTAAAAAAAAAATAAGCAGGACGAAGATTTTCTAATATTGTTGATTGCTTTTTCATACATTATATTTGTTTGTTTATTATTATTCCTACTATAATATAAAAGTAAAAGACAATCATTGGCTATAAAAGATATGGGGATCATCTGTGTACATTTTCGTAAACCTCCCACGATACTATCGATAGCATCCTACGGGCTACGGCCCACCACTAATAGGTAATGAATAAAAGTCAGCCGGCCCATCGACGAACCTCGTGCGGAGTGCGCCCCGCTAAGCGGGGTTACCCTTCCTCCGCTTCCTCATACTTCACCACACAAATAGTTAAAATATCACTGCATACAGCGCCTTATATATTTTTTAACATGTATAAAAATAGTCTCAAATACTGCTGTTACATGTCTGGTTAGCACATAGCTATGATCCCACAGAAGGCATAGTGTGGACGTATAAGTTACTTTAGTATCACGCAATAAGAGGCGCCCTTCCTCTTATGGTTAGCAACGCAATTGGCATTACATTATCAATCTACTTCAAAAGGAGGAGGTTAACTCAGAACTACGTCCTATACAAACGGATTTTAAAAATTATGTTTGCATTGGGTTCAGTTTATCTCCCATGATATTGAATCTTGGATTCCGAAAATAGATCGGGGAACTATAAATCCTCTCAAAACCAAATAAAAAAATGTATGTAGCTTGTGAGAGAAAATGTATTTCTAAGAGGTTATTAATGTCGAGTATTACGATTGCCTTTTAGTGGTGGTAATCACTGACCAAGTGATGAACTATTTGCTTATAGCAATCTACTCTAAAGCAAAAATGTATTTTTTTTTCGTCTAAATAAATTAGCATGCAATTCATCCGATTATGATTGGTTTTTGATATTGATAAAATTATATAATATCCTGAAAAATAAACCATCGTAGCCGATTCCGGATATTTAGTTCTAAAAGAAGAAAAAGCATTTTTCTTTTATTAGCTTACGTTGAATAGGTACTAATTTGCAAACTATACCGCACAAAATATTAACTTAGGTAACATTTACTTAGGTAACATGTCATCATGCATTCGCACACACATCATGCATTTCAATATTTTTAATTTAAATGTATAAATTATGTTTATTTATATTTTACGTAATATAAGTAAAATTTAAAACTATTTTGACAGTCTTATTTGGCAAACGTTTCATACTTTGTTCATAAATTGCCTAATTTCGATGCGTTTAGTGTCTTTAAAACAAGAAATTTAAATTAGGAACATTGAATTATTTATTTTTAAAGTATGTTAAAATATTCATGAATAAATCTGTGTAACCGTTATCAGAAAGCGATAAACTACACTCTTAGATCGTGACATGTATGCAACTAGCATGTATACAACTTTACTGGCCTCTCGCAGAAACGTGCATATTTAGACGGATGACCTTCAACGCTATATTACCTAGTGTATACTCTCTTTTACAATTTGTGACAAATTTTAGTAATTTTATAAAAGTTTATTCAGTTAATAACCAATAATACCGTCAAAAAATCGCTACGGGTTCTGCAAGCAGTAATGAAACTTTATATCATAAAGTAATCATTTTTTTAATAATAATTTATAACGATATACTAAGCATAATGTCCAATTAATGTAATGGAATTTTTGCGTAATACTCTTGAAATTGAGATTGAAATATGTTTATGATAGACAATATGTCCATATTGCATAATGCATGTCATGATCTATTCATCTTTAATTCAACGGCATAATTTCGGCGCATCGTATTCTATGTTCTTAACTAATAGCTAAGGATCAATTAATTGAATTATAACCAATGTTCCATCTCTCACATCTTATAAATGCGAAATGCACTAATATTATAAATGCGAAAGTTTGTACTTCTGTGTGTTCATTGACAATTAATGAACACATGTCTAACGTTACTTGCCAATAATCATAAAAAATATTAACGTTAAACAAAATCCATAATTAAAAAAAATATTTTTCAAACAAACTAAGTAAAAAAGAAATGAAAGTAACATCCTATACAACTACAACTGACTGATACATACATTCAGAGACTCAAGAAGACTTAACGTTACAG